AAATAATAAATGAGATAATAAATCATGATCATTTAATGAAATTTGTGCTCAACAATTTTATTCATCAAGTCGTTCCAGAAGATAGATGACTTCCACTTCCTTGGTCAAAGGAATCACCCATTTCTCATACAACTCAACCACTACATCGACGTTAATCTTCAAACATCGCGAGGTATTTTCAATGTCTAAATTTAAACCCCCAGATTCAGTGATATCTTGACCATAGGTAAGTGCCTTACGTCTAAGTCGTTTCAACAAGGATTCTTCAACCTTTTTGTTGGTCAATAAAGCTTCGATAGCTTCTGAATCACGAGACTTTATGTACTCGATGTATTTTGGCTGAAGTTTTTGATCTTGGAACTTTGCCTCAGCGACAAATTTTCCTTTTTAAAGAAAGGGTCGCGTAAATCATAACATGCACAATCAAGCCATAAGGAATATTGCGATTACAGTACCATAGTGAATTCTTTGTGATAAGGCCTGTAGACATGCGACATCTCTAGTTGCAGAAGAACCAAAATTTTGATCTTCCCCATCAGCGCACAAAGTCGGAATGATATTTTCGAGATAAAATTTCATTATTTTGTCGTTGACGTTGATGTTATTTGGTTTAAGAATTTTAGGATAATTTAGAGGTGGAAGGACTGGCTCGGGCAGAGGTCCCGTGAATGGATATTCATCGGGACTTTAAAAAGAAAATTAAATATACATTGATGTTTCAATTACAGTAAAAGCATGGACTTCTATTATAATTAATAATCTTTACCTCTGGTACCTTCTAACCTTTGCTGTGACAATTAATTTAAAAATTAATGCTTGTTCTTTTTCTTACACGAGAAGTCATTCTCACGTACCGTGCACTTTTTCCGACTCTCCTAAAAAGAATTCCAAGAAACTTCCATTAAAATCATCACTTCCTTCATACTTAAAAATTCCCGGCTTGTAGATAGAAACATTACGCGCGAATTGCGCTCTTTCTATCAAGGCTATTATATTATAAAAAAAGAGTCAGCCTTCCAAAAGTAATATGTACAGGAAAAAAACAAATATACCAAATATAATGGTATCTTCAAGTCGAATAAGAGTATCGCGCAATTTCCCTAGAGAGAGGGAATCGTTGGAGTTTTCGGATAGAAAGTTCATCCTTATCGCATTTTTAATTGTGGTGGCAGGAAACTCATCACAATGATCATTTTTATAGTGGTGTGGCAGTGCACATGCGTGGTGACTTATTATTTACGTATGTAGCAGGAATTTAATCAGGTAAGATTACTGGTAGTAAAGTATCATGACACGTTCTCCACTCTTTTCCTTACCCCGAGCATTATACTTGTTAATCGCACGTTTTCAGAGCAGAAATGTGATTTCTTTTTTCAGTGGGAGGAAACTTCACTCGTTTCGACGTGGTCTTTCCACAAACAACGCTCAACATCAAAAATCTCAAACAAGAGAGGAAAAAGAACTTTACCTTCGCTTGACAAAGAGTTTTCGTGAGAAATTAGTGCTGAAGCCACAAAAGCCCGAAAATCTATATGGAAAAGTCATAGAAACTTCAATATTAGATACTTTAAAAGTATTAAGAGGTTCCAATTCTGGGGAATCCGAAAAGCTCATGGTAGACGTTAACTCTTCGAATCATGGAAGACTAACAAAATCAGAATTAGTAAAACTGGTCAATAAGATAAAGGCGTCCACGATTCTAAATGATGTGCAACAACTGAAGAATATACACGAGGACATGAAACATTTAAACATTACGGACATTAACATTTACAATAGGATCCTCCAAGGATTTATTTTGTGTAAGGACATCGAATTTGCTTCGAGGGTATATGAGGAAATTCGAAATAAGGACCTTTTGCCTAACATAAGAACTTTAACCACGCTTCTTAACGCCACGATGGGCACTCCTTCGGCTCACGAGTATTTTCAAGAAATTCAAACCCTCAAGCTCAAATTATCATCAATTTTTGATGTCAATACTATATTACGATATCACATCACCCGGAACGACAATGACTCAGTACAAAGATTATGGCAGGAGTTGGTTAACCAAACCCCCAACATACAGGCGACATTAATCAACGATAAAGGAGAGAGGTTAAAACCCAACTCATTTTCTTATTCATTATATACAGGATTCCTTTGTAAAAATGGCATGTTTGATGTCGCCATCGAAACCTTACGAACCATGGAGCACGGAGTTCAGCCGAATTCAGTAAATTTTCTACGACATGTGATCCAACCCCTTGCACAGAATAACCATCCTACGGAAGCTTGGCGATATTTGAGTGATATTAGAAGGAAAACTGTGCATCCTCGAAATATCTATTCAAAATATTACACTTTCATTATCGAAGCCTTCGTTCAGAGGAACGATCTGAATTCGGCGGGAAGAGTGTTCGCGGATATGGAAGAAATTGGTGTGGACCTGGACCCCAGAGCAAAAGAGATATATGTTTGCATACGAGAGGCATTAAATGTCATAAACGAGGATCCCGAAGATGAAGCAATTTTGAACGAATATAAAATTATTTAATTCCATATTAATAGTAGACATCGACGCGTCTTCAAGTATCAAGTGTTCAATGATGCAAACGTGAACGCTTGTCAGAATGATAATGTTGAATCATGTAAAATAAAAGTTGAGAAAATTTTATCTCCTTATATACTGTATATGGGAGATTATACAGTGTATCTACATATATACGTAACGTATGTATATACTTGCATCATTTTTCGCATTCTTTCATATGACACGGTGTAACGTTACCGAACCAGAAGACAAGTTTGAAAAGTCACTGACCCTCACGAGTCTTGATTCTTCCTCCTGAGGCCAGACAATGTCCACTTGTTCACTTGAAAAGGTGCTCCCGACCGAGTGTATCCACGAAATAATTTCTCATTTGACGCACGACAACCTTTCGACACTCAACAGTTGCGTTCGAACCAGTCGGCTGTTTGCGCGATTGTCCGTCTTTTTTCTCTATAAGAATCCCTGGAAGTATTTTGAAATTGAAGAGGAGGAAGGCGAATTTTACAAGAGGGATCTTAATCCAAAAGGTGCACTATTACTCAGGACCTACTTAAGTTGTTTAAATGAACCGTCAAGATTTGAAAGCGCTACCTCAGAAAGTTTTCCTACCACAATGGATTACATTTCTTTAACACGTCATATCAATATTCCCATGCTATATCACTTCCTCGAAGCCAGACTTGCTATTACCGTTGGTTTGACTGACAGAAACAAGAAAATTCAGGAAGCCTTTTCGGCTTTATCTGAGGCCTTTAGCAAGCGTTGCGTCACGGTAGAATCGTTGGTGACCTGTAAATCGAATCCTGACATTTTTACTTCAATGGTTCAGAAATTTCCTAATATCTCGCATCTGGATCTCTTGCAATATGAGAACACCGACGAAACCCTAAAGTTCATTGGTGATCACTGTAAGAGGCTTTCCGTATTTAAATTTACCGTCTGTAACTGTTCTCCAAAGCTCTTGTCCGACTTTCTGGAATCTCAAGACGAGGGATATCTCAATGAACTTTGCATCAAGATCACTGTGGATCCCAAAAAATTGTTGACCGGATTGTCTCCATCTGTCATTGCCAAGATCACCGACCTACGCATTAACGGACTTCACATTGATCACGCAATGGATAACCTGAAGTTTCAAAGGTTGCGTTCATTGGATCTCAGCGACTGTCACAGCATGGATGAAAAAGCATTTAGTGCGTTGCAATTTGGTCAGATGATAACTGAGATCAATCTTTCGGAGACAAAAATATCGGAAGCCGGTGTCATTTCTCTTGCAACTCATTGCAAACACAATCTAAAAAAGTTAATCATGTTACCGTGTGGTGCTGCTGATTCCGTTGAACAAGGTATTCGGGCACTTGCGACATATTGTCCGAATCTTGAGGAGTTCAGGTTGGACGTCATTCGTGTTGAAATCAAAGCTATCATGGAATTAATTCAATCATGTAGGGGAATAAAAATTTTAGTTCTCGGTGGTGTGGAAATAAATAATGACGACCTGCTACTTGACGAACTCATGGATTCAATTCGAACCAACATTGGTGAATCAATCAAATGTCTGGACTTGCGCGAATGGAGTGTCAGCGAAAAAGCGGTGATCGATTTGACTGGAAATTGTCGCAACTTGGACAAATTGATTCTGAGATATTGCCGAAATGTGAATAATAACTGTATCAAGGCAATTAGCAAATATCTGGCGGGAACCCTTCGACATCTTGACGTGGCAAACTGTCCCTTGGTGACTTCTGACGAAATCGTGGCGGCTGAGGAAAAATTGGTTAATTGTCGCATAATTCATGCCTCAAGATTCTATTGCATTGACTGAAAACATGTATACTTAATTAGTATTTAACGCTTCTTTTTCTTGTCTGTATCAGACTCTCGATTGATTTCTTTTCTTCTCAAGGTTTATTTATTCTCTATTTATTTCTCTTTTTTTTTTTTTTTCTGACAATCTGTTTCGTCTAAAACAGATCATTAGCATCCAATTTTTTTGCGATGAATTTGATGGTGGTTTGACGATTTATTACAATAATAAAAAATTTTTTGTTGTATCAATGCTATTTTTTTTTTAAGAAAAAAAAGAAAAAAGATAATCTTCGTAAATAGTTACTTAATAAACAAAGTACTTTGTAATATGCGAGTGCATTTGATATTGCAAAAAAAAAAAAATAAAGTAAATAAAATAATAGACTCGATTTAACGAACCAACTATATATGATGTAAAGAAATATATATATATATATATACGTATACAAAAGAAAACAGAATTGCACTAGTAATTTACGTTTTACAGAAATATCAAATATTTATATATATATTTTTTGTATCTTTTTTATGGTATCCCAAAGTCTCTCGCGCCCATTACCCTACGATTAGTATTGTTACTACCTTCTTGGTACCACAACTGTCCACTGTTTAAACCCCAGATGTCAGAAGTTGACGCACCTATATTACTACCCCCAGCATTATTATTATTATTATTATTATTATTATTATTACCACCAATAGATACCGTTTCGCCAAGACTGTCGTTTGTTCCAGGCCTTCTTATTAGAGGCCATTCATTATCACTCGCTGTAGTTCTGTGTGGTAAACGTGATGAACCGGGTTGTTGTGATTGCTGATTCTGTGAAGACTGCGATGGATGAGATTGTTGGGATGTCTCTACAAAATGTGTTTTTTTTTTTTTTAGAAAAAAAAATTCAGTTCATTTATACTTACACAACTTTCGTTGCTTCAATTTTTAGAGACCAATAAGGAAAAAAAAGTTCTAACCTCCGGGCAGTGCCGAAAATAAGGAGTTGGAAAAATATGAAGTTTCCGTCGGCGCAAGGCTCTGCCTTCTATTTGTCATCGGGTGTGATGGGTCGTCATTGAGCAACGCGCTGGAACCAACCACATTACCAAATCCTGGTGGGGGCGACCTCGTACGTGTCTCCAGGTTATGAGCAGACGTCGACCCTCTCCGAGGACGTTGTATTGGCTGTGGTTGTGGGCGCTGCACAGCTTTAACGTGAGAGTCTTCAGGATGTTGAGACATTCTACGATGACCAATGGGAGCCAGTGGGGCACTTTGCACAACACTGGGACCCATGTGGGATGTAGCTGGTGGTTGACCAACGACCTGTGTTCCCAAGTTAAATGTCTGTGGACCCAGTGGCCCTTGCCCTCCACCTAGGGATAACCCAACAAATGCACCAGGAGGAGGATTAGCATTTACTCCTGTTGACCCCATATTCCCACTTCCACCTATTACAGAATCATTCAGCAGAGACAGATTTGTGGATGTAACGGATGGTGGAACACCTGAGGAAGATCCGGTTAAGTGAGGGGCAGTCCCAATGTGATTAAACCCTCGGGGTGGAATCTGCTGTCGCATCCCGGGATGATGAACGTGCATCGGCATCGGCGGTCCACCATGATGTGGGTGTAACATTGGTCCTAAGCCTGTTGTAAATAGTGATGACGCGGGGTTCATCCCCGGTATAGTGTTCGTTTGTGGTGGTGGAATTTTTTTATTGTTTGTGTATACATCGTTCACAATCTCATTTGTTATTCCTGACGGATTTATAACGCCAGTAGGTTGCCCAAACTGAGGCTGTGGTCCATTCTGATTGAAGATGGGATGCGGTGGTGGTGGTGGTATATGATTCGAATGATTCGGAGGCGGTGGAATGTGTGCTGAATTTATGGGATGATGCGGAGGAACAGGTATCCAGTTGATCGTTCCATTAGGCATCGTAACAGCTTTTGGTTGAACAACGGGTGGATTATTTATTGGTGGTGGTGGCTGGGATTGTGTAGGTATCGTGGGTTGCCCAATTGGCGGAATCGTTCGTTTTCGTTCAGCGTGACGTGTGGGATTTAGGATTGTAATTCTTTGCATCTCTTTCTCCTCCTTTTCTTTTCGTTCCTTTTCTTCACGTTCTTTACGTTCCTTTTCTTCTTTATCTTTTCGTGCTTTCTCTTCACGTTCCCTTAATTCCCTACGTTCTTGCTCTTCTTTTTCTTTTCGTTCCTTTGCTTCACGTTCCCTTCGTTCCTTCGCTTCGCGTTCTTTCCGCTCACGTTCTTCACGTTGTCTACGTTCCTTTTCTTCTTTTTCTTTTCTCACCTTTTCCTCTTTTTCCTTGCGTTCTCTCTCCTCACGTTCCTTACGCTCTTTTGCCTCCTGTTCTTTTCTCCTGCGTTCTTCCTTTTCTTTTTCTTCCTTTGCTTTCCGCCTTTTTTCTTCCTCTTTTTTCAGACGTTCTTCTTCTCTTGCTCTTCGCTCGGCCTCCTTTCGGAGGCGTTCCTCTTCACGTTTTTTACGTTCTTCCTCTGATTTTCTTTCACGCTCTGCACGCAATGCCTGCTCTTCAGCAAGCCTCTCCGCCTCTTTTCTTGCGCGTTCTTCCTCCTTTTGCTGTTTTAAGGCTCTACACAAAACAGAAGGCTAAGTATATTAACTTAGGCTGTGAACTTTTTAGAATTCAGATAACTTGGCAAACCTATTTTTGGCTTTTTTCTTCTCCTTTTCTTTTAGTTTCTTTAGTTCGCGTTCCTCTTTTAACCGATTTTCTTCCTCCAACTCCTCTAATAACTTTTGCTGTCGTTCTTGAGCAACCTAAATTATGAAGGTTTCGGTAAGTCAAATGAAAAAAAAATAAATCGTATTTATATCTCGACACGAACCTTTTCCCGATAAGCATTTAGAACCCGTTGTTCAAACATTCGTGCAGCAAATATCTGGAACATCCGTCGACCTTCTTCCATGCGTTGTTCTTCTGTTTGAGTGTCCTATTTACGAAATTTTCGGTCATTGATTATTGATTTATAAAAAAAAAGGGAATAACGAAATCTGCAACTCCCTATGCAGAAATTTGAAGATCTTCGCTTGATCACACCTCTTCCCCTTCCTCTTCGTACTCGTATTCCTCATCCTCTTCTTCTTCTTCATAATCACGTTGTTCCATTGCAGCTTCCTCTTCGCGCTGCATTCGACGCTCAGCAAGTCGTTCCATCATTTCAAGAAACTTCTTGCCATCATTTTTTAAAAGGTCATCGGCTACGGTCAAGATACCTCCTAAGCCAGTGACGAACATTTGTTATTTATTTTGGTTAATTAAACATGATCCTGTCCAGATGGATATCACGCACCTTTCACAGTCAAACTATTACCAAAATTAAAGAGTTCCTTCCGAGTATCGCTACCCTGCTCACTGCCTTCGTAATCATCATCATCGTCATCATCATCATCATACTCATCATCATCTTCTTCTTCGTCATACTCAGCAGTAGAGTCATTACGGTATTCAATGTTCGAGGAACCAAACTGTTGTTGATTGGCATATAATTCAAGTTCTTCATAATAAGCATCATAGAGGGTTTCCAGCTCTTCTTCTATAGCGGTCCTGGATATGTGCATATGTATATGTATTTAAAATACGGGGGCGAAAATTTTTTTTTTAAAACAATTAAATGTTTTCTAAATTGTACCGAGGAATCTCCATGACATTTATAATAATACTGCCTTATAATGATTGAATACACAAAATCCTTTCAACCGCCTTCCCCAGCAACCTTGTAAGCAATACTACGACCACCTAAGGGTCAATATATATAAATTTTTAACAGACTAACCTCTTTCTGCCACATACAGAACAAGAACATGAATGTTTCTGTTGTTCTTTCATTTTTTTAAGCACGGCCTCCTTCTCGACCTTTACTAAACTTCTTCTTTCCTCTTCACCTAATTGTAGCCAGAATTCCCTTATCCGTTGCCTCTCTTCATTGTTATTGGTATTCCAGATACCGTCTTTACGAGATTTGTGATTATGGTTGTGATGGGAGTGGATATCTGATATTTGGCTAATCGAAAGCGAGGTCTTGTTCTTCTTCTTCTTCTTTTTTTTCTTTGCAGGAACTGTTACGTGGTGATTATCTCCGGCAATAGAATCTTTGCGCGGGAAAGGTATCTCGGGAGATTCAGGATCATATCCGTCATCATCATCAGCATCAGTGAAGAACTCATCATCCTCCTCTATGTCCACATCCCCTGCCTCTTCACCACTGCTCATGTAAATTACATTAGACTTTGTATGTGGATTATGAGTTCCATTAACAACATCAGGATCCTCGATGTGATCTGCAGGTGGCTTCCTTTTGCCCTTCTTCTTCTTCTTCTTTTTAGTGGCACCATTACCGTTTTGTGGGTTATGAGAAGGAGTATGTTCACCGGGATCCCTTGAAGGCGAAGTTGGAGACAGTGTCATTCCGGAAGGTTCTTTTACGATATTCATACACTTTGTGCCTGACTTATTATAGATTACGGCCTGCTTTGTATTAATTTGTTGCGAAAAAATTGGCGAAGGGTGAGATAAATTTTCTTCAGGTGAGAAAGGTTGTGAGGTCGCCATCATAATTGCCGTTACGTTAAATATGGCGCCCTTCTCTACTTTAAATTCTGGCTTTGTTAGGACTACAAAGAGTAAAAATAGATTCCAGGTGAGATGATTACTACTATAAAATATGCTCTAGATTTGGACAAACAGTTAAAGCTAAGCAACAACATTTCAAGTTACGTAAGCACAAAGGTAGCTTACAATCACAGAAAGTCGAAGCGATAGTTTAGAAAGTATTAAGGTCTCGTAGAAGTATCTCGAGGCAGTGATCTTAAATAGCACGACAAGTGGTTTGAATTTCGTCTTGTGCTCTTTCAGGTAGGCTTTATAATTTTTTTTTAGAACTTTCCACCCAAACCAGCTTACAGAAGAAGTTTATATATTTTTTACAATTCATATACTGATATTATCAACGACGATCACACATATGGAGTGGAGTAGTATATTAAACGGCGTCATCTAAATCTCGGATGAAACCTATTGCACTATAGTATATGATCATAGTGTGATCATAAATACGTATGATTTGTCGGTTACTGTAGGTGATAAGTAGATGTTCATGAGGTGTCTACATAATAACACGAATAATGTACTACACGTTAACAAAAAACAAACTGAATTCAAAAAGACCCGATTGTTTGTAAAACGTTATTACCTTGAAAAGAATTATGGGGGTGTCTATCTGTAAGGTCGAGGAGAAAATTGCATCTATAAATTCTTACCTGCATTTTTTTCGTTAACCGTAACGATTAATTCTTTCTACGTGATATTAGAACGCAATATCACCTACCATTTAGAATTAGGAAATTAGAAAATCGTGTTTTGTATAACAGCCCCCAGCTTATTCCATGTTGTTGATCAGAACGGGGTATTTATAGCGTAGCCCATTGTTGCGAAAAGGTCACGCGGATTCGTGTGGATTTATGCGTAAAAAGCGCGCGCGCTCCGTGGTAGTATCCATTTTTCTATTTATAATGGACATAATGCAGGCGAGAAATTTCCAATGCACCCTTACTCCAAAAGCAAATTTATGTAGCACACACCAATAAATAATAGATCCCGTGAAATCTTAAACTTGCTCAATACTCTACACAGATCTTAATAGCCGATTCACCTGATGTATCAGTTTTTCTAGTCTCATAATGCATCAATATAATATCAAAAATTCAAATATAGTAATAAATGCACCACGACTTTATTATCAAAATATTCATATTTTAAAAAGATGAAAAAAAGTATCATTTTATCGCAATTAAAACAATGCCTTAATAACAATTCATTCATAATTCTTTGAGTCATTTTGTTTTCTCTCGATATATGCTAATCATTAATCATAATACTGTATTATTATTATCGATATAATATAACATCTTTTTTTAAAAAATTTTTATTTGAATTAATTGAATTTATAAACTAAAACTACAAAAAAAAATCAAATCTTGAATTTATAAACTATAATTATAAAAAAACTTTTTTTAAAATAAGAATTATAAATTTAAATAAAAAAATTTTTAATCAAATAAAAACAATATTATTGATATAGCCAAATATCTTAAAAATAAATATTTTTTAAAAATTTAAAAAGATAATAGTTAAAAACCTTTCTAATGATTTTCTTTTTGATTTATAATCTAATTTTTTTCTATAATTGAATTACCAATCTTAATTGCATTAATATTAAATATGATAGTAAAAGTTTAATCAAATTTTGAAATTTGCTAATCTAGTCTTGAGTATTAACTAATTAGATATAACTTATTTAGAAAGTTAATTAATCTAAATAAGAAGAATTATAATATAAAATCTATTATTCCAATTGAATTTATAAGCTTTTATAAAAATTAAATTTAAAATCTTATCTTAAGTAATTTTTTTTGTTTTGATCTGTTTTTAATTTATAATTATTAAAAAGACTAAAAGTTTTATTTTTATATAACCTAACTGGATTTTTTATAAGCAATTATATTATATTAAAAAAATTTTAAATTAATAAAAATATATTTATATTTACAATATGTAATAAATCTTTTTGAAATTTTTTATTTATTTGTTATTCAAAAACTATTACATAAAAATTTATAAATAATATATCAAAATAAAGCTTAGAATCTAAATATAATAATATAAATTTTATATAAAAATGGTTTTAAAAAGTTTTTTAATTTAATATATAGATTTTTTTTTTTTAAAAAAAATTTTTTTAATAATTTTAATTTTTGAATTTTAAATATTTTTTTTTTATAATATCAAAAATAAAATATAAAATTCTATAACTTTATAAATTTAAATACAATAAACTTAAAAATTAATTAATAATATATATAATATTATTTTTTTATTTTTTTTTTTGGAGGGTTTCTCCAGTAGGTAAACATC